GTGCCTCTTCAGTAGAATCCAACGAATATGCACCCAAGACACACTTGATGAAGACGAAAGAAAGTTGACACAAACTCTGCTTGATAACAATTACCCAGACAAGTTCATCAGGAGATATAAATTAGTCAGAACACCAAGACCCACTCTACAACTCGCCCCTAAAAATGACCTGTTCATCAAGCTACCCTATATGGTGTATCATAGTAGCTTGATAACTAGACAAAGACTGAACTCTGCTGTTAAAAAGACTTTTTATGCAGCTAATATCATAATAATAGAGAATGTAAAGCCGATATATCTATCCAAGCCCTTAGAACATGCGGGAAATGATGTCACATCCCACTGTATTTACCAATTTGAATGTACGTGTGGACACATATCCATAGGGAGGACTCATCGATTTCTGCAAGTAAGGGCTGGTTTCACAGCATATTCCTAAATGGCTCAAGAAACAAATGGAATCTTCAGAACCTATTTATGGTGAGAACAAGAGACCTAGCTCCTCTATTGCGAAACGTATCATAGAGACAGGACATAAAATTGACGTTAACAGATCTTTTAAAAGTATCTATAAAACGTGTTTAGGGCGTATCCTAAATTTTGTGGAAGCCCTCGATGGCAATTACGAAGTTTAAACCACCTTTATGCGTTCAAAAACAATTCGTGATCACATCAAACCTTCCTTGGTAAATTTTGTTTTGATACCATAGCAGATGTGCTATTACCTCTGCTACTTGGTTTAGTGGTCTTCATTGTTATTTTGACCTTGAATATGCCCTTTTAACTTGACCTAAGTCTATTTTCTCACCTCTTACCTCTTTATTAATTTCATATATATTCCTATGACAAGTCCGTGTGTGATCAGATTGTTCGAAATGTGTTGCGCAAATACATTACACGATTCAGACAAATTACGTCTTCTTATTGCTTTATCTAAATTCATAAAGGGAACTAACTGTTTTAAATAGTTCTTAGTTCACCCATCCTGGTACCAAAATGTGATTAGGGTTAAAATTAGGAGATTATCAAATTGTTATTCTCTTTGGTCCCCAGCGGAACATAGGGCTTCTGCTTGGAAGTTTCTGTACTGCGGTAGAGTCACTAGCCTCACATTCAACCTCCCCTCTTTTTTCCCGTGCTTGGGACTCTATAGAAAACTAGCGAAGTAGTAAATTTGGCCAAACTGCTAAACTGAATTAAGAAACTTCATGCGGTTAGTTCCCCTGACCAGTTTCAGAATAACGCGACAAGAACACAACTGTTGTCAGATGAGATGAATTCATTTGATCTTATAGGGTTTTTCGCAACTCAATTACATGCAGTTGAGCTGAACAATAAGATACAAAAATAATCGATATCATGATATAATCTATGTACACTTTAACTGGATAGCCAGTTCATTTTGTAAGATTAAAATTACGTAACGGAAACAGAGAAAAGAAATAAATTATTTAAGAAGTTAAAATGGTGGGAACAGAGGCACTATATGTCGTAAGGAGAAGAATGTCCTGGAATTTAAAGGTGGATTTAGACACAAGTGGAGGTGGTTGTGTAGTCGTGTGGAGGATCACTCATGCCTAACCATCGCCTTCCGCAACGGGCAATGTTAACTGACATAGGATCAGGTTGGAAAAGAGTTAGCTAGTGGTGGTTAAACCAGAACATGACTTCATCAGTCCATGAAATCAACAACAGTTCGTTTAAGCGACATTAGGGGGTGTAGACTTCCTGACTGGTTGGGGTCCTCGGGATGGTAAAAACCAGTGACTGGAAAGCATTAGTGATATGGCTAGCTCAAAATGAACGGCGCAGATGCATTCACTCTTTGTGATTTATACTACCCAATAAAACTCTATTGTTCTTCCGTATTACTATTCTTTTTGTCTCATATTACTGTTCATAATCTCTGCCTTTACTGTCTTGTCTAGCTTTGTGTGCTTCATGGGGGGGGAAGGGGGGGGGGGCGAGTGTGGCAACTTGAACTGCTGCACATCTGTGCAAAGTTCTCCATTGAAACCAATCAGTCAGTGAAGGATCTTTCAAGCAGAGTGTAAGAGATCAAGATTAAAAATAAATTTAGTTAAAAAGAATAGATGGATGCAATTAAACTGAGTTGCATCATTAAGAATGAAGTAAAATTTTGATGAGCTTAGGTGAAAGAGTCAGTACTTGCCAAAGTAGGATAAAGTTAGTACAAGTCTCTTCTTTAAAACATAACTCAAGCTTCACCCTTCGTATGGTGACAGCTTCAGCAATTTGAAGTGTAGTCATTAAGTGCTCTGACTGACTATTGACCAGCATAAAAGATTCTGATGTTTTTATCTAGTGGTGGCCAGCTGTGGCGCTATTAAACGAAGCTGGACCTCTAAGACGTAAAGTCTTTGGCACGTGTTTACCTGTACCTGTGGATGACCGTCCTTCCGTTTATGACGCAACTCTAACATACACCACTTTTCGCTTTAGTTTCTACTGGTTAATAGTCACTTTTTCAACGTCTCTAGCTGAACCAAATTACACATATGAATTCAACAACCTTTAGGACAGTACATAGGAATACCAATCTTTGTACCTTGCATAATTGCTACATTACATAGGTAATCCACTGTTTCCAATCAAAGGCACGTTGGTGAATGAAGAAGACACATCCAGTGATATCATGTTTTTATCATACACATTTGTACGGCACAGTGGTTAGGACTCTCGCCGACCATGCACATGTTCCGAGGTTGGATCCCCCGCCGACGCACACCTGATATCAGTGGTGGGCCTGCAAAATTTGGGCTACCGATATCGCATGCTGAGAATTCCATACTTGTAACAAAAATACTGTGTGGTTTCAAGCTATAACCAAAAAATAAATAAATAAAATATTATCTAATTCTTTCCACAAATTCTGAACAGTCTTTTGCGCTGTTTTTCACAGCTGTAAGAGTTCCACCAGCCATTTGTCAGTTGGATGGTATTGTGCATTCGACATACTGAGGACCGGTCTAGGTGCTAAGCCGCTTTCATGAGTTTTAGGTAGGCTATATAACCTGAGCATCAGTTCACCAACAAACTTAAATGTTTCATACAAATTTAGTGAAATATTACCTTTTGATGATATTAGATGGTTGGAGGCAATCGGAAGCCCTACCTGACCAAGGTTTCGTGCTAGTTAGCACTCAGCAGTTAGCAAGGCGTATCTGAAACCTTGAAGGAACTCATGTCCCTTCTGAGATTCGAACCAGCGGCACCCAATGGGTGCTGCAGTCAGAGACGCTACCACTGAGTTAGCTATTCGGGATCGCGATTGATCTCCTGTAAGACTGTATTGGATACTTTGATTGGATACTAGTTAGTAACTAGTGTAATGTGTGTGTCTAGTCCTATCTTTGGTGCACACTAAACTCTATCAGACGCGGGTTTGAATCTCAGAAAGGACATGAGTTCCTTCAAGGTTGCAGATACGCCTTGCTAACTGGTGAGTGCCAACTAGCACGAAACCTAGGTCAGGTAGGGTCTCCTATGGCCGACTGCCTCCAACCAACTTATATCATCAAATCAATGTGCACCGTGATGGTAGCACCTGCTCATAATCCCACTGAGGATGAAACCTAGGATCTCAATGTTACGAGGCGAGCCCATTGAACGTTTAATCTGCAAGACGAAATCATAGACTCTTCAGCATAAGTGGGACTGTAGAATTAAGCATACTATTTTCTGAAACGGGACTAGTCTTCAGTATGCTACTTTTCCCAACAGTATTTACTCATAAATCTCTATCTGAGGTACATTCGTGTTTTCTTAGAGTTGTAATTCTTTTTCAGATAACTAATATATGAATTTTGTCGGTTACACATACCGTGATATAAGATCTACTTTAGCCTATATATTAAATACTGTTTAATCTGAAGCAGTAATCACTCTAAGTTTCTCATCATCACATCACTTTAAGATTATGGTGCATAAAAGGTAAGTTTATAGTTAACTTTCACCTTCAGATTCCGAGTCCAACAGAGGGCTTCAAGCTTGAGTTTTGAAGTTTCAGTAGCAGTGAGGTTCCTAGCCTCACACCCAACCTTCCCTCTTTACTGGACTTATTACCGAATAAGTGAGGTTTAGGCATGAACCAGCTGAGTATCGAACCCCCGAACTACATGCGTGGTAGGCGAGTATTCTGCCGCTAAACCACCACCGTCGTACACCCTCCCACCTTCATGATTCATTGTAAATTTGATAATTGGATAGTCACTGCTGGTCATTTGCCCCAGTATCTTCACATTATGAACAAAGTTGGTAGATGCAATAACCGACAGAGATATCAACTGATCTACAGTAACTGTTCACACGCCTTGCAGACGATTCACCCACTGAGACAGAATCCGGTGCCCCATCAATTCTCACTTCTACCAATTTGTGATATGAGGTAAATGCGTAAAAGCTGATCCACAACAAATGGATTATGACAACAAAAGGCAACCACTGCTACATGCATACGCTCACCCTGATAATGTCTGTATCCCCCCCCCCACAAATGATCTGACACGGTGGAGAGTGGATAGACACGAAATCCTCTGACGTAGCCATACGTCTTATCCACTGGCTCCACACGAAGGGAATTGTTTCCATAAGAGTGAAACGGTTGATGCAGATATTCGACGCCATTGACCGGACTGCTGGAGACATGAAGCTTCACCTAGGGGAGTTGAAAACCCCTGAATCCAAACCTGTGGTACGCATCGTTTCCGGAAACTATAACGAATGAATGGTACATGCGCCTGTTTTCGAAAATGCTGCTTTACTGTCCTGTAGGTTAGACTTTAAACGAAAGGCTTGGAGAATGATCTTGGCAGATAGTATCTTAGTCCTTACACAAATCATGAAACAACAGTTGATGAAAAACTCCAGCTCTTTTACATCGTATTTACTTCCTAGAAAGTGACATGTGTTGATCCTCTGAGGTTACTGAAAATAACCTCCACTGGAAGCTTTACAACAGTAACAAGTTAGAAAAGGAAAACAAATACATATATATTTTGTGATGAAATTACTGACAGTAAAAGATTAGTGTTTAAGTTTGATGATTTTAGTTTGAATATTCGTTATACTGACTTCACATTTGCCTTCTTCATCATATTCAAACCAGCTCTACAAAATAGGGGGCAAAACAATAAAGAATACTTGTATATAATCACACTAAATTAGTCATTTAAAAACTATTACAAAAGTTTATGAATGATTTCTATCACAAAACAGCTGTTTGTGGGGACAGATTTAAGTGTCCAGATAATGTTAGAGACTCGTATATGACCACTTCTATGTGCATATATCATTTCATCTGTTGCTGTGAAGCCAGCCAGGTACATCGGTCGTTTAACATACATCCTGTCCAAGATTTAAGAACACTATTCAACATGGTTGCGAAAAGGCAATAGCGGTGCTATAATGAGTGCGATAATCGAATACCTTGTAAACACTGACCATTCCATCTCAACAAACGCCCCCTTCGAAGGAATCTACAGAGTGAAGAATAACCTATCAAAGGCGATACGATTTCGTCTACTCTGTATTGCTGAAGCTCTGGCCATTCACATAGACAAACTGGATCTGTGCATACAAAAGAGAATCACTCAACCACTTCTACTATCATAGTTAAAACTTTGTTGTCTTTTGATGACTTAATTTTGTTTGTTTACCTGTTTCTTTAATTGCTTATAATTCTTGTATTCATTTAGAACTCTTACGTAATTTCGTGTTCTTTACTTTGTTCTTATGTATATCCAGAGTACAACTCATCACCTCTGTTACTACTCTAGTTTCATGAACACCCAATTTTCTTGAGTTTTTGTACTACGTAACTCCACTCAAAACTTACTAATGTTCACCTGTCTAGTTAAAATAACCATAACCAGTTGTATTTTTGTTTGACAAACTTAATGTGCACATACATTCAAAATAACCCATATACAGCTAAGAAAATGAATTCGCCGAAAAGAGACTCTTCGCTGATCTACGTGTTTTGTTTTCATTAATGTTAAAAACGTTGAATTTTGAGTTTATATTGCCAGGATAAACAAACCAATTTAAACAAAGAAATAAGTAAATAAATCTAAGCTGAAATCTTAGACCATTTAGATAATAGTAATTAAAGTAAATTATACACTTGGCACATGGTGTTACACATTCCAAGTTTTAACGCCTTTTTCGTCGAGAAATTTTAACTGATATCGGATTTGATGGGAAAAGAGTTGGGAATGGTCAAATTAAAATGTAGCATTAATTCATGAAGTCTTTGGCTGGTGGTTTGAATCACTTAGGGGAGTGGTATAGACTGTCTCCAACTTGAGTCCTCCAGACTCTAAGAAATAACGCCTTGAGATTGTTGGTGAAATGGCTCAGAATTGTTTTCAATAGTGCAGATGTATACAGTCATTGAGCTCACAGATCAAATAAATTCTTTTTATTCTCCATGTAATTGTTATGTTTTTTCTTCCGTACAATTCCGTTTATCATTCTTTCTTCGAATATCCTGTTTTCTGCCTTTATGTGTGGTCTTACAGAGTGTGCCAACCTGGACCACTGCATGTTTTTGCAGGGTTCTACACTAAAAATTCAGTTCAATTTAACTAGTAAAAATCTTAAGATTAATCCAACTTAGACTCGACGACTAGGCAAAAGCAGCAATATATTAGATCATGAAACGAATTGACACTATTAGCAAAATTCTTAATGTCTTGAATACTTAGGAATGCATAGGTTAGAAACACGATTATCTCATTTCGAAGAAAATGGAAAACACATGTAACTTTTGCAGAGACTAAAATGTTAACACCAAGGAAACAAGTGAAGGAATAACTCTAGTTGTTTGAAATTCATATAGTCATACCTCATCTGCAAGGGAAATATCATTGAAAACTGTATCCGAGTTAACTCCTGAAGCAGACCAACCAACACGAGGAGAGAATTCAATGAATTCTAAACCTCGACAGTCGAATTTTGCAATAGTCTTGAATTGACCAGAATCTTCACATTGATATGAAGCTATACTACCAGGAACGAGATCTACAATATAATGGGGTAGAAATAAGCCTGTTTATACAAAAATTCGTGTGGTGAAAATGAGAACGTCTGATTACACAACACATAAAATGAAACATATATACCAGGTCTAAAACTATGAACAAAACAGGGAGTCGAGACACCGATGAGACGCAAGCCTTTTCTTAGGTTTTTATAAGTAATTAAAGGGAAATTAAAACAAGTTATTCAGCGAACAGTCTCTTTTCAACAAATTTATTATCAAGCTGTACAACTGTATGTATATGACCTTTTTTAAGGAATTATATTCCGGGAGGAGACTGCAGCAAAGGTTTGTAGTCGTGATGTTATGGAGGAAGAGTTAAACCTTACATGAAAAATCCTAATAGAAAATGGATTTCCGCCACATTTTATAGACAGGAGCACACAGTCAAAACCTATGTCCGTAACCATGAAAATACTGTACATGAACTTAAAACTCAAAGGTAACTTAGCTGTCGACATCCTTAAAAAAAGGATATCACAGTTCATGAAAAGGATACTCCCTGAAGCATCGCTGAGAAGAGAATTGCGTTTTCTAGTCGACCACTACTATTCAGTAAACCAAGATCCTGCAGTTGACCAACTATTCTGTGTCTATCATTTCGCCTGCTCCTCTGCAGCTAGGTATGTAGGTCGTTTGCCCCGGGTTTTGTACAAGAGGGTGCAAGAACACTATCCTGCATGATTACGAAGAAGTAAAAGTGGGACTTTAAGAAACACGTCATATATATATATATATATGCAACTGTGCAGCTTGATAATAAATCCGTTGAAAACAGTCTCTTCACTAAGTCGCTGGTTCTGATTTTCAATATGTCCCAATGGGAATTTTCCACAAATACTAATAATTTGGCAAACTCTATCAATCGACTAATTTCGTCCACTTAACAACTGCAATATATGTATTTTCAGAAAACCCAATTTAACTCAATTTTCGTGTCCCAATTGTATAATGCTCTGTTTATGAAAGTCATTGAAAATAATTTTCACGTATATTTCTCCGGCCCCTAGTGGTAGTTGAGATAATATTAGTCAGAAATTGAGAAGTGCATTTCCACACAGCATGCGATGGATAATTATTCAAATTGTAATAAGGGAACTAGCCGTACAGAAAAAGTTTGAGTGACCAGCGTCAATCAGAAATGGTGAAATCTGAATGACTGTTTGCCTAATTAACCGAAAAACAATCAATATTCATGCAACTTGATTTTGAGAGACAAATTATCCAGATAGTCTATAGTTGCGTATAAGAGGATGTTTGCTATTACCAAAAAATTCCCAACACACTTGCCACGAACGATCTAATGCTTTAAAAAGACAATCATGTCGTCACCAAACCACCACAGCTAGAGTTCCACGTATTACCACAATTATAAATTTTATGAAGGATGAAGCAAAAGTAAGGTTACTTAATAACCATTTATATTTCTATGTGTTTGGCAGTGAACCATGCCTATCGTGTGATGCCTGATTATGCTACGTGGTTGCCAAAACTTTCGCAAGTAAATCTGGATTGAAGCGTGTTACACTATTGTTTTACCAGAGAGGACAAAGAGGTTGAAATACCGAACAGTTCAGTTTGCAGTTGAGGACACCTACTTAGAATTAAAGTTGTCTGGACCTATTTTTCCATCTCTGTCTAGTTTATCCGGTCACACCAGTTAAATTGCTGTCAGGTGTTTAGATAATTTTGATCTCGTTAATGACCACTGTTGGTTGGAGTGAATGGTCCCCGACCACTCATATGCTAGAAATATCTATTCACATGTATTACTTTAATCAGATTCCCACATCTGCAAACAAGTATCTAATTTTATCAGTGGTCTAAGAATGTAACGAAGAAAGCCATTCGAAGGCTTAAGCCAAGATAATAGGGCGCTTACCCGCATTTGAAACCCTGCTACAAAACTTGCATCGGATAACTAAATTCGCATCCCCACGGCTATCATGCAATGGAGTTCTTTCCTAATAAGTGAATGAAACTTAAGTATTCACAAACTAACCAGACTGCAGAGGTAGACATAATCATTTGTGACTTCACCACAGCTTCCACATTTCGCCTATTCATGACAAAATGGAAAATAACTTGTGAGTATTCATACCTTGAAATACCACCGAAAATCATCACCTGATGGAGTCAAACTGGTAATATTTGTTAGTTCACAGTTTATTTGAACACCGAGTAGCTCAGGAAAACTATTATTTTGACAAAGCTTACTACCATGTTTACTTTAAGCAGACTTGAGCTACGAAATAAATGTTACTGTGGGTCACTAAGGAGACAGATCTGCGTGTACTTCGAGACCTTCACTGATATCACTTGGAAATCTTAGAAAAGGAGATGTGTTCAAAACGAGCAAGGACGATCCTTTCAATATCCAATATCGTTTTTACGAGCTAGTATAAACCAATTTGATTTCTTTGTGCTCGCCTCTTGATTGTGAGGTAGAGGTTCTTCGGTAAGCGTCTGCGTAGCTCGTCCCACCACTCGACTGTCGTAGCTTTGGTTGACTCCAGAAGGAGTAGTGCAGGGATCTAATTATATGTGGTTTGTAGTATGAGGAGTGTTAAGACTGTTACTACTGTGAATGGAGTTGATTCTTTCACCAGTTGGTCCTTCGGTATCGTCGTCAATAGAAAAGAGATAATAATAATAACAATAATAATAGATATAATTAGTAAAGGTATTCAGACTAACAGACAGAAAAAGAATAAGAAAACGTAACAACAGTCAGTCAACCGGTATATATATATACCAGTAATAATAATAATAATAATAGGTGTAGTTAAAGCTGTCAGGAGAGTAAGACTGAAGAGAATGTGAAGAAGTAAAACGACCAGTTTAATTGTCTACCTTTGAATGGTGTATGCGATTTTAAGGGGATAGGCCATTTGGATGCAGTCCTTGTGTCGATGCATGGTTGTCCAGCCTTCGCTTAAAGGCGTCCACAGACGGTGCCATAGCTACATCTGCCGGTAAGGAATTCCAGGGACGGCAAACCCGCAGTGAAAAGAAGTGGGAGAGCAACCGGGTCCTTGCCCTTTGGGGACTTGATGTTGGGACTAGTTGGCCGATTCCGCTGGAACCGGCCCGTTGTGGTTTCTTCCATGGATTTAGGCAGGACACTTGGATAACACATACTGTTATTCCCAGAAATGCATCACTCTAGTGTCACTGAAGCTTGGGGACGTATTAAAGCCTCCGTTTGCTGTCTCCTTATGGTTCGAGGTCTGCTTTCGCAGCATCGGATATGTCCTCCCATTTTCCCCTTGATCTCATACCACCGTTGAAGTGCTATGGCCAACTGCTCTGGAGAGTTGAATGTGACACTTAGCAGCTTTGGAGAGCTAATCAGTGTGAGATGAGTGGGGCGAGTTAGTCGAGAAATGGAGATGGCTCCAGATGCGCCAAGGACCATCTGAGACGACAGCCATCTCCACTGCTGTGCGTCATGCATGTGTTTTTCACAAGCAGTGCCCGTTTCCAGCTCCGGAACACCATGTACCACCATAGAGGTAGAATGCATCAGTTCCGGTGACTCCCTCGCCATTTGTCTGATAGCCCATGGTCTGTCTTGTCTCACACTTATGTTCGAACTTCTGTCGATGGCTAGTACCTGAGCCATCAATAGTACCTTTTCGGCCTCTTCGGGATAGTCCAGTGTAACCATTAATGGGGGTGGCTTACCCTGAGGCGTGTGGACACCCCTGTACAGCCTGCACAATTTCACTGAACTAATATTCAGACCTAATTTATTGCATGGGGTTGGACTACTGTTCCTGATCAAACAGGGCCCGCTGTTCAAACAAGCTGTCCCTACTCACAGGTACGTTAAAGAGGATAAGAGAATTAGACCGATTAACCTCAAACTTCGGTTTGGCCTTTGGCTTCTTGTATTCCTTTGCAGCATCAGCAACTTTTTTTCTCATAAACTGGTAGTATGCTTTCGGCACCTCTTTGTCACAACGGCAGTGCACCCACCCAATGTCTCCTTGGTAAATTTGTGTTTCTAATATCATTTTTACAAGCTAGTGTAGGTCATCTTGGTTTCTTTGCGCTCCCTTCTCAGTGGTTAGGTAAAGGTTCCTAGTCTTCAGTACACTTCTTAGTAGTTCGTCCCACCACTTGACTGTTGAAGCTTTGGTTGACTGTAAAAGGAGTGGTTCTGAGACTGATTATATGTGGTTGATATCATACGGTGTGGTCAGATCATATCGCTACTGTGAATGGGATTGGTGATCTTACCAGGTATTTGTCTGACATGGTCCAAAAGGGAGATCATAATAATAATAGGTATAATTAGTGAGCAATAAATTATGCTCGAAATGTCATCAGTAAACATTACTGTATAACACTGTGAGACTTTATAAAAACAAATTTTACCCATAATGAAAAGTTGAGGCTGTCTTCTATACCCCAGATCTATTTTATGAGTCGGTGTGGACCAAACAGATTGCTTTGAGCTTTTTTCTTAGGAGTAAGCTATTGTTAATGAATATTCAGTGAGTTTCTAAATGGTCAGTACTTCGGTAGCTGCTGGAGCTTTAGTGGGTCGGGAAGGGAGTAAGAAGTTCATTAGCTTTGAGTAACGTTTTGTGGTCTGTAATAAAACCATGTCACTGATGTATTCAAAGCTGGTTTATCACCCATTATCCATTCAGAGTTCCCAAAGAGAATGCAGTAGTAATAATAATAAAAAGGGTGACTACAAAGAGGAAAGTGGGGAAATAGTTTAACAAAATTAGTTAGTGAATAAACCTACGAAAGGGTGAGGAACGAATGACTGCACGAGTCTCAGGATACCAAGAGGCTGGACTGAAAATTCTCAGTCCATTTATAAGCTGTTTTTGCATAGTAATTTGTGGTTTTTACATCTCAGTCTGCTCGGCTCGACAGTCAGTTGGACTACACTGCCATTTGGCGGAAGATTTAGGCACTTCAAGGTTCGCCACCACAGCCGAAACACGAGATGTTGATGAAGCCTCCAAAAGACAGCAAAATCGAAGTGCACTATAGATTTTACTCTCTAACAAGTGACTAGCGGTAGGTTCCTAGTAGAATGATGTTAGGATCACTGTGTTTAGGCGCGGTGAATAGACCTCTACCAAAGCGACAGTAGCTCAATGTAAAGACACTCATATTACAGAGCGTCTCATCTTGTGTTTCGCTCTGGAGGTGCAATATTTCCCATTTGTCGCACTAATCTGTTCCTTTCCTAGAACGATGATGTTGCATGATACCAAGGAAATTCGCTTATTCAGCTGGACCTCATCCAATTCATTTTCGACAATCAATCTGTATATCTATACCGATTCAGCCACTTTGCGGACAGTTGGGTTTTCAAAGAATAAGAGCACCTCTGTGTGTTGTGATATCATTGCATGCCCCGGAATTCTCTTTATGCCATCGTCAATAAATACATACGTTAAAATCAAATATTATGTTCTCCACCCACTAGTTTGGGTGGCGTTAAAAGCAGCCTTGCCTCCAGGTTAGGTGTGCCAGGCTAAAGAGGCAGAGTATCGCGGGATGGATGACCATGACGGGATGACCATATAACAGTCATGAGCGTTATTTCCAGTTGAGTCCAACCGAAAAACCACCCCGAAAACGTTTCGAGCACAATTTATTGCTCATAATCATATCATATTACTGTATAACACTGTGAGACTATCAAAATAAAATTTACCCATAATGGAATTACACTCTACTACAGTGCCCAAGTTTTATTCTCATATCAAACCACCCCGAAGTTGTTAAAGAAGCACTCACACTGTCGTCCCTGAATGTCTGTTTCAGGGAAGGATCATACATAAGTTCCGTAGAGCCTTAGGAAGAGCTTTGGCGTGAGTGCATCCATCCTTGCACATGTGTAGCGCATAATATCACAGCCAGTCTCTCCTGACTCTGATTTTGCACTAACTCCCCAGAGTCACCTATGTGTAGTGATTGGACTGCCCCCAAACAGTCCCCACCTACACCACGCCCTGCACTTGGCATGTAGTAAATGCTTAGTATCCCAATTATCTAAAACGCTTATATATTGAAGTATGTAGTCACCAAAGGTATAATATCCGAAATCCCTTTGTGAATAATTCCCTGTTCAGTTTTAGTAGTACGAGGAAGCAGATTACTGTGTTCTTACTTTAATCGGGTGCCGATGGTAACTCTTTTACGGCCAGAAATGTAGTCTGCTGCAATCGTACATTTTCTAGGAAGGAATCAAGCTGTGATATGTACTTAGCTTTAGGGAATTGGAACAGTACGGAAGTTTAAAGATATAGGACTACGTTGCAGCTAGGAAATCACAGAATCATAAGTGCTACAAACCTGCAGTGCTACTGCTTACCTTAACTATACCTCTGCACAGGGTAGGAAACTTCGTACGAGAAAGAATCTCAAATGCTGTATACGGAGAACGCCATCCATTTAAGTCTTTGTAGGCCTCAAGCTCTTCTGTACTCCTTCATAGTGATATAGCAAAGTTGTGTTGGGCCGTGGAAAACAGCGAAGATTACACAAAATTTCAGAGAGTTTCGAAATGTTTGGAGAATTCGACCGCAGCCAGTGGATGGCATGTTACTTGTGTAAGTGTGTCAGGCCGTGTTCATTTTAACACTCGTTTCAGTGCAATAAATTCCCACGGTCTGTATGCAGTCGGTTTCTCTCGTACACAAGAAGAGCTCAACCTTGGGGTACTTATGAATGAAGACTGGGATAAGCTCTGACCGTACAGGAGATGCAGTCAAAATCACAAATCCTTTTATTTTGCACACAGCCAGCTAGGAACAATGACCGTGTAGTGATCACTTCCAAAGAATAGACTTATTTGCCTTCAGATACTATAGAACTAGTGCCTGACTAAAATGGTATAGAGATAGTGCTTTTAGGGGAATAAAGAAGTTCGTTTACCAGATGTTCATCCCAACTTACTCAAACACGGATGAACAGCCGTAAGATCAGTATGTTACTCCATGGGACAACCCGAAAAAAGTTGCAGTGGAAAAGGTGTAAGCGGTCTTCTTTCCCTGTGAAACATCCAGCAAAATTACTTAGCTTTTTCCAGAAAATACCTTTCTTGTATACTATCCGCTTGGGAAACCTGATCTTTGAAGCCGGTGAATTAAATTGAACCGTTACTCCCCTATCAAATCTCTGTGTGGTAAGTCAGGCTATGTCGAACTACTGCCAAAGCTTCAGGTGATACATCTGCAGCAGTATCTTCCCCATGCGTTCAGATAAACAAGACTTGTTGGTCTGACACGTAATTGCTGCGAAGCCGATTAACCAGAAAGTACTTCTAAGGTTGAAAGCCTCTTCTTTTCTTTATACTGTACATTATCAGTCCTATTCTTATTCTATTGGGTAATAATAATAATAGTATATTCTCATTTTTGTACATGAGGGACGCCAGTTTACAGGCATCATCAATTCGATAAATTACACATACGAATAGTAAGTATAGTTAGTAATGATAATATTATAAGGTACATATTTATTCCTACAAATGTAGGACATGCAAGTTGTGTAGGTGTGGATAAGTATTATTTAAGTTACATATTTAAATTACATGATTTACGGTTAAATAACATGGTTGCTGTCATTTTATCTTTTGTTTGT